AACTGGGATAGAAGGGAATGAATATTTTATTTTCAAAGGGCAAAAGACAAAGAGATAATCTTAAAAGCAGCAAGAAAAAAAACCAGTTAGTTATCTACAAGGGAGTACCCATATTGACTGTCAGCTGATTTCTCAACAGAAATGCAGGCCAGAAGTGGGTGGCAAAAAATATTCAGTGATGAATAGCAAGAACCTACAACCAAGATTACTCTACCCAACAAAGCTATCATTTAGAATTGAAGATCAGATAAAGAGCTTTACAGATAAGAAAAAGCTAAAGGAGATCATCACCACCAAACCAGCATTATATGAAATGCTGAAAGGTATTCTTTAAGAAGAGGAAGAAGGAAAGGTAAAGATAAAAATTATGAACAGCAAATACATATCTATCTACAAGTGAATCTAAAAATCAAGTTAATAAAAAATCTAATGAACAGAGTAAACTGGTGAATATAATAGAACCAAGGGCATGGAAAGAAAGTAGACTGACAATTCCTGGGGGGAAAGGAGTGTGGGGGTGCAGGAAGAGACTTGACAAAAATCGTACACCTATGGATGAGGACAGTGGGAGGCGTAAGGGCAGATGGTGGGGTGGGAACCGAGTGGAGGGGAGCTATGGGGGAAAAAAGAGGAAGAACTGTAATAATCTGAACAATAAAGATTTAATTTTAAAAAAATAATAATAACATTTGAACAGAGAAAATGGCAGAAAACATCATCAACTAAGAAGAATTAGCTTTAAAAAACTTAAAATTGAGAAATTTCTATGTATTAATTATTTTTATAACTTCAAAAAAGAACACTCATGTACCAATGATAAAATAAAATTCTGTCCAAATCATGGAAGACCAGTGTTGAAAGGTAGCAGAATTTGAGAATTACTAACTGGGCCAGCTTTAAAGAGCAAAATATTTTCATCTATTTTCTTTCTAAGGCTATATAAGTGGTACCTTATATGTTTCCCCCCCTCCTCCTTCCTTCTTTCAGGAGACAATTCAAGTGCATTAATAAGAACAATGAACTTGGCATCTGAATCTTGTTGTAATTTGTATTAATTGAGTGAACTTAGGAAGTCACTTAATCCTTCTGAACTTTATTTTGTTATGTATTTGATAACTTCATTACTGATCATTACAAGGCAAGAATGGCATGAAGTAGATGTTTGCTTCTAAATTCTAGAAAGCTCTGATGCTTGTAAGTAGGATAAGGTATTTGAAGAATCAAACAATGTGTTTTTGTGGTACCTCCTCCTTGATCCTATCCATTTGCCCATTTAGGCAGTCATATTGTTGATTCAAGGGAGGTCTGATATAACAGAAATTCAGAGAGAAAGAAAAGCTTATAAATTTCAAAATAGATTTTTTGAAACTTAGAACAGAGATACTCATTTGAGAAAAAATAATTTTTGACAGCCTAGGATTCCAGCTACAAACAATAGATTTGAAAGAATACATGAAAAATCAGAGGGAGTTGTTTTTCCTACTTTATCACTGGGCCCTCAATATTTGGAACTGGAAGGGGAACAAGAGGAGCGAGAGAGAAGCAACAGAAATAGAGATTGATGGGTATTTGACACTGTTAACTCCTGTCTATTCCCCAGGCCAAGTACTTCAGGTTGGGGAGCATGATGGACATTTCAGAAGAGTTTGGGGAACCCTAGAGCAGAGACACCTGTGCCATGCTTTTAAGACAGAGCTCTAAGAGGCAACAAATGTTATAGAACTCCCTGGCATCCAGCATGAGGAAGGAACAATAGAGTAGAGATAGCCTTGCAGTATCTCTATGCCCAGTGTAGCGTGGAGAGCTGCTAAGAAGTTGAGAAAGCCAAACTAAGATATATTTCAGGTCTTGTGATCAGAGTGAAGCAAACTCCACAGTGAATGGGAGACAACAAAGGTTCAATACAAATACAGAGGACTTCAGTGTGGGTCAATGAAGATGTCTTGATGACCAATGACCAGATATCCATAGTCCTAGATGTCTTGACATTCTCATACTCTCTAGGACTTAACCACAGCTGTAATATAAGGTATAGGAGACACTAAATTGACAAAACAAACCCTGAAATGACTGAGGATTGTGTAATGTTGCAGACATTAGGTTTCCACCATCTAGCAAAATTGGTATAAATAAGAAAAAATTCTTCATATATTAGAAAAATACACATTTCTTCACCACATGAGTTTGAAGAATGAGAATTTGTGTCTACTTACATTTTAACACAAAGTGCTTCTATTTGGGACTTCTACTCAAGTCCTCATTGAATTCCTATAGATGAAGCCAATCTTTCTGCTTAAAGATTCTATAATTGGAAAGGGCATTTAGAAGCTTGCACTGATACTCCCAAAGACAGTATTTCCCCTTTATGGTTGCCAGAGAGAAAGACAGGACCCCCCGGCCCCCCCACACACACACCCTGGGCTATTCCTTTCTCCTAGGTCCTCACTCTCTGGCCCTTCTTCAACAGAAGGGTGAGTTTGTTGGTTTACTCACCTGTTTCTGTTGACAATCTTGTTCGAGTACTTCTTTTTTCAAAAATCATGCCTAAAGATTTCCCTTGTAATAAAGGCAAATACTGAAAATCAAAGACAAGAATATAATTAAGATGAAAAATATATTTATATCCAATATCAAGGATTATATTTCAAAACTTATTCTTTACGTTGTCAAAAGTGTAGAATAATTAATCACTACTTCCAAATAAGTATTCAAAATGTTACTTAAAAAGTGAATTTAAAGTGGGTTTTTTGCCTTTTCTATACAAATGGGTGAAGGGAATAGGAACTCCCAAAGATTATTGACATAATTAGAAAGTATTATTACTTGCTTTGGGTTCAATCTGAACACTTGTTTCAGAGTATATTAGTATTTCACCTTGGGACCATCTTCTTACTTAAATCCATGGAAATCCCCATCAGTGTTCAATGACCTTGAAGATGCTTGGTTTGGAAATGTTTTCTCAGCTAGGAACATGTTACCCTGTTACAACATGGGCAGTAAGATTCCTAAAGGTGAAGCCTCAGACTGTCTGCTACACTCATTATGCATCCTTGTGGGAGTGCAAGGGCTTTGTTTCTGAAAGTCCTGTGGAAACAATTTGGAGAGTTTGGTGTGGGGTGGGGCTCTTCCTCCTTCCTCTGCTATAGATGGACTTTCCCGATAGGATGAGCTCTGGAACAAAGATTCCTGCCAGCTAAACATCCTCACACACAATGTAAAGAACAAAGGCCTAAGATTTGAGGGGGATGTTTCTCCTTATTTCAGATCTTCCATAGTTGGAGTCACTCTGTTTTTAAGGAACTTGTAGAGCTAGTGAACTAGGTAAGAAAATCAGTGTTGTGTAAAACTTTTTCAGCCTGAAACCAGCTCTTTATAAAAGCTTTTTATCCAAGTTTGGAATACAAAAATGCTTCCACAATTAAGCAGTCTAAATGAAGCTACTGAATTAATTAAGCATGTGCAAACATAAATTGCTCAAAAAGCAGAATAATGATTTCAGCTAAGCACCATATCTCATTTTCCCCCTACTTTGTTAACATTTGTCTCTTTGTTAATATAAAATTTTAAAACACTGTCACATCAACTGTAAATTTTTGATATCCTAATGATCATATATCTGATATTCATTCTCAATTGAAAGTTTTGGCTAGAAAAATAATATATCATCCTTATTTTTAATGATAGAAAACACACAAAGAAAAGAAAGGAGGCATGAAAATAAAATCTTTCTGGAGAATGATTCTTTAGGTTCTGATCCAGTTAATAATGAATTTCAACATTCCACATGAAAGAAGTGCAATGATTTGTCATTGAATAGCTGATTTTTATGCTTTTTATGTGCCTGTACACTCAGTAATCAATTACCTTGACTGTGTGGTTCCATTACTTGCTACTGTTTAGGAATTTTAATGTGTTTTCTTTTCCCTCTCTCTTTGTAAGGCTGTCTTTACAAAATCTGATTGGTAACAATGGAAGGTAAGATACATACCTCTCCTTTCTGTTTTATCCTAAATTTCAGATCCGCTGATAGCCATAGCATATACTTAATTTCTTCTCCTGTAAAGTTCTTTAGAGTGAGAAGGTCACGACCCTTCAGCTGTACTTTATTTTGTAATGGTTGGCCACATCTACAAAAAAAGAAAAGAATATATATATATCTGTCAGTCTGTTCCATGCTTTCATGTCTCTGGATCTATTTTGTTCAACAGTTTATGTTGTTCATTAGTTTCCACATATGAGTGAGATCATGTGATACTTGTCTTTCTCTGACTGGCTTATATTGCAAATAGCCACACGAGTGGCTTTGCCACTTACTAGTTGTGCAACTTTGGGCAAGTTACTTAATCTCTCCCTTATAGGATAATTGCTAGGGTAAAATGATTTAATACATGTAAATCATACAATGTCTGGCATATAATAAGCATTTGATAAATTTTAGCTATTATTTTTGAAATCATTAGATTTGTACAATCAGAATTTGTAGTATACTAGTACATGCAACAGAAAACAATGTCATTCTTTTTTCCCTACTGCCCTTCAAATCTATTGTTAGAGATTTGTTCTTTTTACTTGTCCCTGGTCAAATACAATGGACCCTGTGGCTTTTATAGTAACTCTCACTGGGGGGGTTGGGGGGAGTCATCTGCTTGCTTTATTCTCTCAAAGTGTCTCAGTAAAATGATGTGTAATAATAAAAATGATTTGATTTTTTTAACTTTAAGAAATGTACTGAAATTTAATATCTTTTGCCTTCCAGCTCATGCCTAATTCAAGCTGGCCTTCTCTATAGGTGGAAGAGGGACCATAAGCTGTTTCCTCTGATTCCCTACCTTCAGTTTATTCATGTAAAGCTAAGGGAAAGTGAGGAGTTAAGGGTGAGGCAAACTCTGGTTCTGTTCTAGCAGTCTAGCATTGGTATATGTGCTTGAGACGGACTTTTTTGCTCATTGGGTGCTTTTCAGGGTCCTTTGGGGAACTCTCATCACTGGGAATTTCTCACAGCAGTTTTTGATGGCAGACAATTACATCTCCTCTTCCATCCAAGAGCCCACCTCCAGACTCTTCTTGCTGACATTTCCCCACCCCTTCAGCAGATCTTCTGGTTGTGATGTGAAACAATATCATGTCTCTTTCTCATTCCATATTGGTTCTTGGGAAACCCTTCATATTCTTTGCCCTTACAAGAGTCAGGTCCATCCCAGTATAGACTCCTCTCTTGCTCTGCCATAAAAAGAGCTAGCCACGAGTCCCTCTTACTTTGTTTCCCAGGTATGGGCCTGAGATTAGTGCACTAATTGTAATTGTCTGCCAGAAACTGAGACAGAAAGAGTACTATTTTAATATTCTGTTACATTTTGATGATAATTTGTTATTTGAGATGATCAGTATATAAAATGGATAGCATTTATTCTTTCAGTATTCCCAGTGTTATCCCTAATTAACAATAATTACTATTATATATCATTAGAAATTATAAGTAACCAAGAGCAAAATGTGGTTTACCACATGTATTAAACATTAATTTTATCAGGAGTATCATGCTTAAATTCCAGCCTAAGAAGAGACCTTGGGCTACTTGAGATAAAGAGTAAATTCTATGGTAGGATTTATGTATGTCTTTTATCATTGATGGTGATAGGTAGGAAAATCATAAATTCACTCAATTTGTTGTTTCCACTACATGATGTCATATAACTTAGACAAATGAATATTTCACTAAATATTCAACTTTCTGGCAGAGTTAATTTGTTCATTTAGTGTTGAGTAGGTGAGTAGATTTTTTCAGTAGATATTTGTGAGATTAAGCCCTTCAAAGATTCTGTTATTAAAGAAAGGAACATCCATAATGATGGTTTGTGAGTTAGTTGGCTAAATGGTTGATTGATTGATTTAATAGAAGATACTAATGACATATTCAACTCCAATAGAAAGTAGTGTTTTCCATTTATATGTGAATCAAAATTTTGGTTAACATTCCTATTTCAAAGATGTACCTTTTTCTGTCAACTTTTAAAATATGTGATTCATATATTCTCCAAATGGAAATTTTTTTAAAGTAGCAATCCTTGATTTTTTATTACAGATCCCTAATATTAAAATATTTTACATGGATCTACAATATGTATTAGTTTATTTATAATATATGTGTTAGTATCCTAATAGACTATGTATATAACAAAACATAAAGAAAAATAAATTAAAAATTTAGACTAAGAAGAACCCAATACTTAAAAAATAAATTGTAAATATAAAAAAATATTTTGCTAGCTAACAATTTGTTATTTGAGATGATCAATATATAAAATGAACAACATTTATTCTTTTAGTATTCCCAGTGTTATCTCAAATTAACAATAATTAGTACTGTATACCATTAGAAATTATGAATAATCAAGGGAAAAATGAAGTTTCTAGAATAGACTTTCATTTTCTTCCTTATACTGGAACCCTAGTAAAAAGCTTACAAAACTGTGTTCAAGGTCTGGACAATAGTAGTCAACAATTTAATAACTTTAGAAACATGGCATTAGGCAGGAAATTTTGGTTTTTTGCACATGTATTTTTATTATAAGCTTGGTTCTGATTATATTAATTAGTGATAATATTAAGTAATATAATATACAAGTACTGATATTGTTCAGAAGTAAACCATTTGACTGATATTCATGCTTTTTTCAGGGTCAACTGTATTTGTTTTCTGAGGAGCTATAAATAGGTTTAACATTTAGGTAGTTTTGAATTTTTTTTTTCTTCTAAAATAAGGCCCAAGCAACATAAAGTCACAGAAGATAAACTCTCTTTACTCTATGTCTTACAAAAATACATTAATATTCCTTGGCTTGACACTTCTTCCAATATTATTTTAAAAGGGGGAAAACCCCAGGATTTAAGGAATTCTGAAAATATCACTATAGCTGTTGAGCTCACATCTATCAACAATAGGAAAAACAACCTATGAGCTAATTTTGAGGCCTTATTTTTTGCCTAGAGCTCAAGTAGTAGACTCCTGAATATTTTTTTTATTTTTACTTCATGCAGGAAATACTTCACAACATATACCCATGTGATTTTTGAGAGTACATTTATTAAAGCTGGGGACAGTGAAACAGGGATAGAAGAAGCAACAGGGGAGAGTCCAAGTGGGGCTGGTTAAAATGCAGTGGGAAAGAAATAAGCCTAGGTGCGACTGCAGTCAGCTCACTGGGAAGTCAGAGAAGAGGAGTTCAGGGTGTTAACCTGGGATGAGCTGCTGCTGCCCATTGCTCCCCTGGTTGCAAGTCTTGTGGGGGCCCTTAGAGTTTAGGAGAAAGAAATTTTACTCGAAAAGGAGATTTGAGTAGGTGTGGCCCAAGGAGGGCATGTCAACCCCTGTTTATCTTGGAGCCCACAAAAGCTACGTCTCCAAACTGCTACACTTAAGGGATTCAATATCCTCCCTTAATCTCAGCCCCTTTGGGGTTTTGTTGTATCTACTCTCTTCTAAGTAATCACAGGACTACATGTTTCATTTAAGAAAATATTATAAATTTTAGAATTGTTGTTGAATCACAGAAAAAAAGGAATTAGAAATGAAAATTTTGAAGGGAACTATTTTCTCCACTTTCCATGCAAGGAAATCAGAAAATAATGATGAAAGAGGAGGTCCAACACCTTTAACTACTTCAAAAACATCCAACTTCCAGCTCTTACTACCCAAACAGATGACAAATTGGGATTTTCTCAAATTTGTCCTTACATACTTCAAGAAGTTTCTAAACTGGAGTTTCTGAACTGGTTAGAGTTCAGTTTAGTGTTAAGGTTAATGTTTTGCTATTGGGATCATAAGAAGCTGCTCTTTTTATTTCTGCATTGACAGATTTGAATTTAAAAGTAGAAAGAAGACACAAACATCCTGCTTAAATCTTCCTTTTTGTCCAGATCTTTCATTTTCAAATTTATATAGCAACTGGAACTGTATTTCAAATTATTTTTCTTAGACCACAGTGATCAGAAGAATACCTTTTTTGTGACTCCAGTCTCTACATGGCAGCTACTGATAATGTTGTCTTCACTCTTGTTTCCCTAGATCAGTGATGGCGAACCTTTTGAGATCAGTGTGTCAGCATTTTGAAAAACTCTAACTTAACTCTGGTGCCGTGTCACATATAAAAATTTTTTATATTTGCAACCATAGTAAAACAAAGACTTATATTTTTGATATTTATTTTATATATTTAAATGCCATTTAACAAAGAAAAATCAACCAAAAAAAATGAGTTCGCATGTCACCACTGACACGCGTGTCATAGGTTCACCATCACTGCCCTAGATTGTACCTCCAGTAAATGTTAGCAGATAAGCTTTTAAAAAAATACAGACAGTTCTGGCTTTAAACTTTAGTGTGGGACTGTAAATAATCATTAAATCTTAATAATCAATGGGGAAAAATCACAATTATTTTGTGACTTTAAAATTTTTGTCAAAACATTAAAAAGAAAAAAGAAACATTAAAAAGTTTCTTATTGTCAGTATAAATATACTAGTGGCCTGGTGCACTAAACCAGCAGTTGGACATCCCTCTCGCAATC